CTTTTAGGGAGCAAGGACTCATCTCCAGCCATACAGACCATAGGAGGCTACGATTCTTACACCTGGACCATAATTGGTTACCACAGTACATACTAAAAGACAAAGAAAACAGCTGTAGTCATTTTCTCAAAACTGATTAAAAACTAGCCGTTAGATAGAAAGACTAACAGCTATTACTAAAAAGAGAAGTTCCCAGATTCTTCAATTTCTTCATTCTCTTCAATATCAATCTGCAGGATTGTCATCTGCAGTTTGTATTAAGCTCAGTAAGTAGCTTAATTCTCAACAGCCTCTCCTAAGTTGCTTACTGGCTTAACTCCAAGTTTCGACCTTAGATACTTGAATCTGTCTTTGGGCAGTGCTTTGGTAAAAATATCTTCGAGCTGTTCTTCACTTCTGCAGAATTGCATATTGATCACACCTTCTTGCAAAGCTTCTCTTATGAAATGGTACCTTCTGTTTATGTGCCTAGTTCTTTGATGAAAAACTGGGTTCTTGGCCATTGAAATTGCTGACATATTGTCACAGAACAAAGGTGTTGCCTCAGATTGCATTTCACCAAAATCATCAAGAACAAATCTTAGCCAAATGGTCTGTGTTGTTGCTTCAGATGCTGAGACATACTCAGCTTCTGCTATTGATAGTGCCACTGTGTTTTGTTTCACAGAGGCCCAAGAGAATGCTCCACTTCCAAAGCTAAATGCATAGCCAGAAGTGCTTCTACTATCATCCTCACTGCCTGCCCAATTTGCATCACAGAATCCAACAAGAGTTGCTGACTGATTTCTCACATATTCAATGCCATAGCTAAGAGTCCCTTGCACATATCTTAGAACCCTTCTTTCAACACCCATGTGCTTTTTTGTAGGACCATTCATGAACCTTGATAGCAAGCTAGCTGCATACATTAGGTCAGGTCTAGTTGCAGTTAAATATAGTAGGCTTCCTACTATTTTTCTGTAGAGCCCTTCATCAGCTAACTCACTCCCATCCACCTTTTTTAGTTTCTCACCAGTAGGCAAAGGAATTGAGACTGGTTTGCAGTCTTCAAGCCCGAACTTCATAAGCAAGGATTTGGCATACTTGCTTTGATGAATAAATACTCCTTGATCAGTTTGCAGTATTCCCATCCCCAAAAAATGATGGAGAAGTCCAAGATCCGACATCTCATATCTTTGCATCATTTCTTTTTTGAACTCAGTAAGCATCCTCTCACTGCTACCAGTATAGACAATGTCATCAACATAGATTGAGACAATGATCAAGTCTCCTTCACTATTGGACCTTGTGTACAGAGTGGCTTCACTTATGCTTCTCTTGAATTTGCACATGGAGAGATATGCATCAATCTCACTGTACCAGGCCCTAGGCGCCTGTTTAAGTCCATATAAGGCTTTTCTTAACTTGTAGACCTTGTGACCAGCATTCTTAACTTCGAAACCTTCAGGCTGTTCAACATATACTTCTTCATCAAGCACCCCATTTAGAAATGCTGACTTAACATCCAACTGAAACAGTTTCCAACCCTTTTGAGCTGCAAGTGCAATAAGAGTTCGAATTGTATCTAACCTTGCCACTGGTGCAAAGGTTTCATTGTAGTCAATTCCGGGTTTCTGTGCATACCCTTTTGCTACAAGCCTAGCTTTGTGTTTCTGAACAGTTCCATCCAAGTTAAGCTTAGTCTTAAACACCCACTTCACACCTATAACAGGTTTATTAGCTGGCCTCTCAACAAGTTCCCAAGTATTGTTCTTTTCAATCATCTCCAACTCTGCATTCATAGCTTCTTGCCAAGCTATATCACTTGCTGCTTCTTGATAATTTTCTGGTTCTATGATGCACATGTGGCATCTTGCATATATATCTTCCAAAGTTCTCAACTTCACTGGAGTAGAGCTAGGTGTAGAAGCTTGACTGTTATTTCCACTGTTATTCTCATCTGAAACATCAACAATAGTGTTTGAGTGAGAGCTGCCACCATTATCAAATTGGTTTGCTTCAGTTTGTTCTTCACCAAATTCAGCTTCTGTTTCATTTCCTCCGAGGTTGAATGGTATTGGAACAAATTCCTCTTGATCACTCTTCCAATTCCATACCTTGTCCTCATTGAAAATTACACTCCTTGAGAGTACAATCTTCTTAGATTGCAGATCATACACCCTGTAACCCTTTTCACAGCTTCCATATCCCATAAAAACTCCCTTTCTAGCCTTGCCATCAAATTTCTGCCTCAAGGGTGATGGAACATGAGTGTAACAGATGCAACCGAAAACTTTCAGATGCTTGATTCCTGGTTTTCTACCTGTGAATGCTTCAAATGGTGTTTTGCTTGACACAGATGTTGTAAAACATCTATTTTGGAGATACACCGCTGTACTTACAGCTTCTGCCCAAAAAGTCACTGGGATTCCTTTCTCTGTCATCATGGACCTTGCCATTTCACATATTGTTCTATTTCTCCTCTCAGCAACTCCATTTTGCTGAGGAGAGTAGGCAATGGTTAGTTGACTCTCCATTCCCATGCTTGCACAGAATTCTTGGAACTCATGTGAGGTATATTCACCACCTCTATCACTCCTTAGCTTTTTCAAACTAAATCCACTTTGCAATTCAACGAAAGCTTTGAATTTCTTGAACACATTAAAGGTATCAGATTTATTTCTGAGAAAGTATACCCAGCACATTCTTGAAAAATCATCAATGAATGTGATGAAGTACCTATTTCCACCAATTGACTCATTTTGCATTGGTCCACACAAGTCTGTGTGCACTAATTCCAGTGGACAGCTTGCTCTCCATGCTCCCTCTTTGTCAAACTTCTCTCTGTGATGTTTTCCTAAAACACAACCTTCACACACATCCTTCATTTCGGTTAACACAGGTAGTCCAGTCACCATTTCCATCTGCTGCATCTTTTTCATGCTAACAAAATTCAAATGTCCAAGTCTTCTATGCCAAATCCAAGAGTCTTCAATCACTGATGCTTTTCTTGCTGCAGGTGTCATAGATTCTAGTGAGAGAGGGAAACATCTATTTCCTCCCATGACCACTTTTGCTACAACATTGTTGAGGCTGCCATCATCAAAAATAACTGCCATGTTACCCCCAAATAAGACATAGTAACCATGCTCCATCATTTGGCCTACACTCAATAGATTCTCATCCAAGCCCGGAACAAGCAACACTTCATGTATGTACCTTCTCCCATGCTGAGTTTCAACCACTAGAGTGCCTTTTCCAGTTGCTTGTACAAGATCTCCAGTGCCCATTTTAACTTTGCAAGTCACAGTCCTATCAATGTTTATTAACACAGACTCTTGAGAGGTCATGTGGTTGCTGCAGGCGCTGTCCACAAACCATACACTTTTATCTTGCAAACTTGCAGAGTGACAAGCATAGAACATAGTTCCTGTGGTTACTTCTTCTTCCTTTGCATAGTTGGCTACTTGTTTGTGACTATGACCTTCACAGTCCTTTGCAGTATGACCAAACCTATTGCATTTTCCACATCTAGGTTTGCCTTTGTACCTGCACACACCAAAATGATACTTCTGACAGACTTGGCACTGTGGTTTCACACTTCCTTGACTGCTACTACCTTGCTTGTTCTGAGAATTGAAACTATTGTTCCAATTTCCTCCAGCATTATTATTCCAGCTTGAGCCATTGTTATTTTGAGACCAATTTGATCCCTTTTTGTCTTGTCCTTGCCACTTTTGATTTGGTCTACTCTGTGAGCCCTTATGAGTGCTATGAACTTGGTTATTTCCAACCTTGAGGCTACTGAAAGCTCTCTCAGTTCCAGCCACTTTATCTCTTTCATCATGCAAGTCCTCCCTTTTATCATAGACTTTGACAGAGGCAATGACCTCTTTGTTCGGTTCATTTTTACACATGATTTTTCATGTTATTCTCCCACTATTTTGAGTTAGTTCTTGACATTTTATAGCTTTTTACTTCTTTTTTGTGTTTTAATAGGTTTTACCTTGGTTTGTATGAAAATGAGCTAAAAGTGCATTATTTGATATAAATTCTGTTTTTGTTCATTTTCGTAGGTCAACTTCGTGGCCTTGGATTAGCATGTTCCGGTCCTTGGATGAGGTGATGATCTTCATAAGACTTGTTCCAATGGATGTTAACTACAACATATCCAAATTTGAGCTCCATTGGGCAAGTGTAGCCTATCCAACTGATCGGACAATTGATGCTGGCTCTGGATGTTTGTTTTGGCCCAGTTTTCACCCCACTTAATAGCATTTTATTTCTACTTGTTACCACACCTTTTGGTAACAATGGATTGCATTTGAGTGGCATTTCCTGAGTCAATTGGAGCCTTGGATTAGGATAGCAAGTCTTTTTCGTTTCGCTTAAATTCTTGCTTTAATTTGTTCTGTTTTCTTTTCAGTTTTGAGTCTTTTTTGTTTTCAAGTCACTTTCCGGACATATATGATGAGATTGTGATGAATGTTTACATGACTTGATTGA